ACACGACTAGAACTAGGCGCCTACAACAAACATTAGCTTATTACTTCGCGCACATGTTGTTTTTCTTCATTTGTGAAGACATATACTGATGGGGGCATTTTTTCAAAGTACTACATGGCTACTAATGGCCCAGATTTCATTTAGCGTGATGCTTCAGAAGCTCTATTTCACGTACTCGTGTATGTCAACACTTCTTGGTAGAATGGTCGAAAGCTCTGGACCCACTGGGCACCCAATGAGATCTGATATTTATTTTTAACGCAACAAAGTTTACTTCAATTTAAATAAATCTTATACAATTCTCATCAAATTATATATTTATTATTATAAATGCATTCATCAAATATTTATACATTTGCCTGCGCTAACAATATAAGACCAGTTAGTTTCGTTCGGTCACGTAGTTCGTATTTATCGACATACTTAAATGAATCTTAATGAGCCTATTCGTGAAATATCCCGTAAGTATTAAGAAAATAATAAACTACAACATTACAGCCTTCCTCGTCTAATTATTAAATTAATAAATATTAAAATACAATGCTCTCAAATGTTTAATTTATCGTGAATTTATTATAATATCTCCACAACATTTGTAAATACATTTTTCCTTAAATACAACATGACATGCAATTTTTAGAATACTTATTTTTAAATATGTGTTTCGTTGAAAATATGTTTTATACTAATGTATTTATTATCTGAATTTCGTGCTCTTATAAAGTACCATGTTTTCTATAGACGTATAACTAGATAAAAGAGAGTAAATAAAAAATTTCTGTTATAAGCATATTGTTGTAAAAACAATCAGTATTTAAAGTAAAATTATACATTTTGAATGGCATAAAAAGTATAAGCAGCATCTAGACAAATTAAATTAAAAATTAAATTCAATTCATAAATCTTGTTACTAAAGGTAATTCTTACTATGAATAAATCTCATAATAAAGCTGATATAAAAAAAATTTGTAATAAATAAGAATTATTTTTCACGTTATAAATTTAGAAATTAATCTTAAACTATTATTAGCTAGTTAAGATTAATTAAAATTTAAAATCTGATAAACTCACGAAAGCAAATTCTACGTCATACAATAATACTTCTTATATACATATTTAATCGAGTAAATATACATTAATATAATAAAAGGTAAAATGATATGTAAATTATATAAATAATTCGATTTATAAATCGAACAATATAATGATCGTTATAATAAGTTTCTATTATATAACTTATTTATTTCTTTAAAAAACAAAATCAAATTCAATTTTTGGTGTGTGAAGGGTTTATTTAAAATATTTTGCATTTATACGGTCTATTATAACGTACTGTTATTTAGTCATTTTTAAACTTGATAATTCTTCAGTAAATTAAATTATATTGCAAATTAAATTGCTTATGCCAATAGAAAAATGCTGGCTCGATGCAGATACATAAATAAGTAAATGGAATTGAAAACGCTCATCGTCAGACATTTGCTCGCAAATATCTTTTGTCTTAATTATGGCCATTGAGAAAGTAGATTTTGCTTATTATACAATCATAAAACTCGACGTATTAAAAATCAATAAATAATATATGTTAATAATTTTATTCGCTATAAACCTTAACTTCTACTTCATTAGAATTATATGAAATTAAATAATAAGTATTATATTTCAAAAACTTGTCTATAAACTTATATACATATGTATATATGTAAATATGCAATTATTACTCATGAAATGTAACTTTATAATGATTAATTTTGTATAAAATCATTATTAATCAAGCATATCATCGTTCATTTTATATATTGAATAAGCCAATTGAATAACAGAGATTAGTACTAGAAAATATAATAAAATAATATTCATATATAATTACAGTTTAAAATAATGTTCTTACAACATTGTATATATTTGTAGTAATAAAAATATATCTATAAATATATATAAATTTATATAAAATATAAAAATATAAAATATACAAAATATATATAAAATTTATATTCTTATCCTTTTTTGCCAACACTCTTTATATAAAAATTTTTCCGTTGAGTATAAAACCACTTGATCGAATGTTACAATAATTAACCAATATAGTGATTCATGTCATATATATCAGATCGATCATCTCAATTTTTATGCGACAAACGTCACATTCTCCATCATTTTGAAGAATGAACATCGCCCATCACGTCGTAAATTGTATTGTATAATATTATGTGTAATCGAGAAACACATCTGCACATGTCCCATAAAAATTGATTATCACAGTTGACAACACTCAAGCGTAACGGATCCATGACAACATATACTAATATAAAAATTTAAAAAAGAGAAGGGAATAGGAGACTCGCCAGTTGCATATGCTACAAATTTTGTTACCTTGTGCAGTCTTTCGTTCATTAGGTCGAGTGAACTTACATTAGACGGTGCGTTTGAGGATTTTACAATTAAAAAGAATACTTTACGGGCTAGATTTATTCAAATATGCACAGTTATAATTTATCACGTATACTCATATATCCTGAAAAGCTCTCTTTGATTACAAAAGTTTTATTAATATAAAATGAGCGATTATTATCGATTAATGATACGTTATCGTTTAAGAACTTTTATTATACACAATTTTCTTATTAATCTTCGAATTAATCAAATATAGTTTTATGATTGTGCATTACGAAATATTGAATGTATTCCTAATTAAAGTAAAAATAAATATTATTGATAGGTGATTTTATATTATTTTAATAAAGATTTATCTCCTGAAAATCCGTTTAATACTGTGAATTCTCTAATTTTGAAATTACCATTTTAACTAATTTCCATTTTTCGTTATTTATCATAAATAGTATCGAACTTTATAAAAAATATATAGTGATTTAAGATGATACAATAAAATAGATTATCGATCAAACGATGTCTTATTTTCATGTACGAACATCATGGCATTTGTACATCGCCACATTGACAAAACATACAATGCCCCATACAGCATTTTACGTCTGATTATTACGACGCAATGGCTTAAAGTCACGTCCCTCGATCATTTATTTTTCTTCATTTAAAAGAGAGATTTAAACGATGATAGCCCCTAGCGTAAACATAAAACGATTTTTATTTTTAAAGATTATTAACTTTAATAGCTTACTTATATACTCAATACAATTACTCGAATGAATGGACTATTTTAACTAACATGAAATCTTATATTCTATGTTATTTTTATGTTATTTTACGTTATGTTATTTATCTTATATTTAGTTATTTT